TCCCAAAAAAAAAAAAAAAAAAAAACATACATCTATACCGTTTTTCCTGTGAAAGTATGATATTCATAACTCACCAACTGATGGGAAACCGATCCTGTTTTAAATTAAAGCAGGTTATATTGATGGATTTTGAAGTTGTGAGACTCTATGCTCAGATGCAGAACGGGACACTCATGGCTGGATCACGAGGGCTAAGACCCAAAGGTTTATCGGAGTTGTGCTGAGCCAATCACTTGGCACCGTTGATCATCAATGACGCTGGAGTGGTACGACTCTGTAATTTTTCTATATCACTTCCGCATGAAGTTTTTATGATCCATTTTTCAAATAAAGTCATAACCGTTGTACAAACTGAAATAAGATACTGATCTGCATCTTTACATTCTTCAAATATTGAAGTGAAGCTCAAGTCTTTACTTAAATGTCCTTTTGATCATCATTCCATCCTTTCCTTCCCTTAAAATTTTTCATTTTTATGCACATCCTTGCCCATTATTGTTTCGAATCATTTGAGTATATAATACAGGATTCACGAACATGTGAAAATGAGATTCAAATATTGCTTCTAACACAGCAGATTATTTGGCATATCCTGTTTTAGTTCAAATTTGATGAAAATAGTTACGAAATCTGTGAAGTTTATCTCCCGGAAAACTCTGTACTCGACCTCCTTGTTTGTACTTTGTAGACCCAATAACTTACAATTAGATAGCATTTAAGGTATTGGGTGACAATAATGGGATTAATAGGAGGGACACATTTTGAAAAATTTCTATAATCTAAACGAATGTGAACTCCCAAAAGCTCCATCAAAAGAGAAAATGATAAAGAATGCTACCAATTGAAATATTGCTCCTACTCAAACTCCTTCAAAAATAAATGTCTTCCATAGATACAACCTCTACCAAAATACATTATTCGTTCAAGCCCAATCCCAGGAATCTTATCTAGATTTTCAGAAGAAACACATAAAAAACTTCCAGTTGAGTTGATCGATCTTATATTTGAGGTTTAGCATCACCAACAGGAGCACTCTGCATTCAAACCAAAAATAAGCACCACTTTGAGAAGCAATTATCATGATAAATATGTAACTAAGATAGGCAATTCAAGGGTGTTTCTTTCCATTCTCAATAACTCTAGGCAATATCATCCGGAGTCTCAAAGTGACGCAGCGTAGTATGTAATATGGATGAATAATCGTGACTTAGTAATTTTGTTTTAGTTTGTTGTTGGTTATTTGGTTGTGAGGCTTAAATTCTATCAGAATTGACTTCTGGAAAGTTCATTAGTACTTAGAAGTTGGCAAGCGATCTTGTATTCCGTAGGATATTTGGATGCTCCGAGCTTTTGCCTCGAAACTTATTCCATCACATCTTTTGTTTGCCAAAATAGACTTAATCCGTGTCTTAGCTTGCTGTTTTGGCTAGAGTTCAGCTCTTGATTTATGTGGGAGATGTATAAGAGATGAGGATTTAGGTGCACGGAAAATAAGCTCGGTTAAATTAGCATGTAAATTTCTCACCAGAGTTGCACCCTGAGTAGCTCTTTCAGCCAAGTATCCACAAGACTTGAAAAATCCACCATACTGTTTCGACCATTCCTCCAATCTTGAATAGATGTAATTTGATCCAAGAGAATCCGCCCAGAACATGAGCCCTCCCCTGCTTAGGGACACAAAATTTTATACTCTAGTTTCGGAACAAAAGAGATATATTAAAATGAGATCAACTGGTCAAGTTAACAAACCTGTAAGAGGGGAAACCCATTCCCATTACACCAGCAATGTCCAGGTCGGCTGCTTTGACCGCTATGCCTTCTGCTAGGACACGGCATGCCTCATTCACCACCGGGAATAATATCATCTCCACAATGTCCTTTTCCGATAACTTCATTAGCTACATTACCGAAATCGTTTAGACATACCTCAACAATAAATCACTTTCCCCCAGTTTCTTATACTTCTAAGGTCATAAAGAAATGCTAAATCAAGAGAAGTGAGCGAACATATGTTTTGTGAGGAGAAATAGGGAGAAAGAGACCTTAGGATCAACTGAAATACCGGAAGTGCTCCGAGCCTTCTCAATATAACTCTTTAACTCCGGATTTGGCCCAGCTTTACGGTTCTGGTCATAGACATAGAAACCTTTACGAGTGGATTCACCTGAGATGTGTAATGTACACAAATGATTCTTGTAGGAATGTAACACTGGTGAAGATCATCTAACATTACATAATAAAGGTAGTGAGGTATAACGCCTCGCTTTGGGCATCCGTTTGTTTGACCGTTTGTAACTATTAGCTTCACATTGGAGCCCATTCTTGTCAGGTAGTTGTAGGATTTAAGCTTATTTTGGAAGGAAAAAACTACCTGCATTCTTATCCTCTTGCATAAGAGGAATTAGCACAGATTTATAAGTTCTTTCTGGAAAATCTTGAACAAACTGACTGGTAGCTGCTTCTGCCACACCGAAACCAACGAGGTCACACAACCTGAAGGAAAAAACAAGAGCAAATAGGAATAAAAAATTCAATAGGATTCAATGAGAACAGAATATGGTGCAAACTAGCAAACTTCTTAACCATTATAAACCTGAAGGGTCCCATTGGCATTCCAAACTTGGAAATTTCCCTATCAATTCGATAGGGATCTACTCCACGCTCGGCAAGTAAAATGGCAGCCTGAGAGTAGGGGAAAAACATTCTGTTCACAGCAAATCCTGTGCAATTTCCAATGATAATAGGCGTTTTCTTTATAGTCTTCCCAACATCTAGCAGATCAACAATTACTTGTTCATCTGTATGCTTGGTACGAACAATTTCCAATAGTGGCATGACATGGGCGGGACTGTATCAGAAGTAAAAGCTCAACGCTACACCAAATAGATCCCGAGGAGGGTGGGGAGGGGGGAATGTGGATATACCTGAAGAAATGGGCTCCAATAATTCTGTCACAAGACTTCGTTCTCTCTCCAATCAACTCCAAATCTATTGTGGAAGTATTAGTAGCAAGCATACAATGTGGTGGGCAATATTTCTCAAGATCAGCAAAGATCTGTTGCTTCAAAGAAACATTCTCGGTAACAGCCTGTGTCGAGAACACGAAAATCAACATTAGCTATTAGCTATTGTCCTCGACCTGTCTAGAAAAGAGAAAAGCAGCCCGAAGTACCTCTATCACCATATCCACATCTTTAAAACTTTCATAGTCAAGAACTCCCTTGAGTAAAGAAATAGTCTTCTCAAAATTCTCTTTAGTCATATTCCCTTTTTCGACTCGGCTTTGTAGGTTCGCTGTAGGAGAATACATCAAATAATGAGTTCAAAAAAAGCTGCAAATTGAATTGTGGATACAAAAGCATGTCAAAATCATTAGTTTCTAGGGGTACCCCTGACTCTATCAATGCCAGCCTGCAAGAACTCATCGTTCACTTCTTTGAGTATTACAGGATAGTTGCTAAGAATCAATGCTGTAGCTATTCCAGATCCCATTAATCCTCCTCCCACGATAGCAACTTTCGTGATTTTTCTCGGTGCCAAACCAAGATCGGTAACCCCGGGTACCTGTCGAACATGAGGAGATAATAAATTTTTACATGCCAGGGGATAATATGGCCAGCCACTAACAAATTAGCTAGAACTACTGAGCTATAGTATTCTGGTTCAATCTTGAGCTATAGAATTTCTCGACTTTAGTATCGAACACTGTTGTTATTCTAGTTCTAGCCAGTGAGATCGAGCCCCCATAGATAATAAAACCATGAACATCCCAAGATCAAGAGTTCAAGAACAATTCTTCTGAATTAGTTAGCAGAATACTCATTAATGTGCTGCCACTTCTATAAACCCGATCGAACTTTCATGTCCATCCTTTATTTTCTAACCTTTGTTGTCGAACGCTGGGCAAAGAAGATATGAATTAAGCTTTTACAAGTATCAGTATGTAGGAGTCCCTGAAATTCTTCAACCTCCTGCAATGTACAGAACAAGATATATAGAGAGAGAGATGAAGCGACTACGATTTAAAGATGAGAAGGAATGAAATGGAAGATGAGAAACCTTCCGAAGTCCAGCACGAGGGCCAAAGACGACACCCATTTCAATGACGTCAATGCAGGCGAACGGGTGCTTAAGATTCGGTGACTGTTTCCTTGCCTGAACTCTGGCAGTCTCAAATATTTCCTTAGCCTCGGCAAGGGACTCTAACTTGTCAGTCCTATGGAGACTATGAACCCATGGCCTTCTCCACTCTAGGATTTCGAGAGCCCGTTTACGTGCAGTCGTGATCAACTCTTCAGGAGGGGCAATGTCATCGACAAGCCCCAAAGAATGAGCTTCTTGTCCTTTAATTAGCTTTGATGTCTGTTTACACATGAGAATATAGTACATGATGATATTTTATACATCATGTTACAAAAAGTAATCCATCTAGCTTACCAACATCATTTCTAGAGCCTTTGAGAGACCAACGAGACGTGGAAGCCGTTGTGTTCCTGAGTAGTTTAGAGCCTCGAGATCAAGATAGGTGAACCAAAACACCCCAACCATTTTAAGAATGCGTAATATTTTAAGTCTTGAGGAACTAATCAACACGTTAAACTGAAATCGTACCTCCAAAACCAGGAATTATTCCAAGCTGAAGTTCGGGCAAACCTAGTTGAGCGGTAGGAGTCGATATTCGAGCATGACAGGCCTGAGAAATGAAGGCAAATAAGAGATTGTAACAGGATTCTTCTGTGGACATAGCTAGACACTTACCATTGCAACCTCTAAACCTCCACCCAAAGCAAGCCCATGGATTGCTGCAACCGCAGGCTTTCGGGCAGCTGACGGATGAGATTTAAGGAATTAACACCCAGTAGGTCAGCATAGTACTATAACAAAACTATCATAGGAACTCCTTACCTTCAAAAATTTCAGTGATAACTTCAATTGATATGTTGCTAACACTTGGTTGGTCCCCTGAGACACATCTTACATGAGGTCAATAACGTCTCAAGCCCACCACTAGTAGATATTGTTCGCTATGGTTTGCTATGTATCGCTGTGAACCTCACGGTTTTAGAACATGTCTGTTAGGAAGAGGTTTCCACACCCCTATAAAGAATGTTTCATTCCCCTCTCTAACCAAACCAATGTGGGATCTCACAATCCACCCCCCTTCAGGCCCCAACGTCCTCACTAGCACACCATTCAGTGCCTAGCTCTGATACTATTTGTAATAGCTGAAGCTCACCACTAGCAGATATTGTTTACTTTGGCCCGTTACGTATTGTCGTCAACCTCACGATTTTATAATGCATATGCTAGGGAGAGGTTTTCACACCCTTGTAAATAATATTTTTTTTCTCCTCTCCAACCGACGTGGGATCTCACAATCCACCCCTTCGAGGCCCAACGTCCTCGCTGGCACACCGCTGAGTACTTAGTTCTGATACCATTTGTAACGGCTCAAGCCTACTACAAGCAGATATTGTCTGCTTTAGCTCGTTACGTATCTCTGTCAGCCTCACGATTTTAAAATGCGTCTACTAGGGAGAGGTTTCCAAACCCTTATATAGAATGTTTTGTTCTACTCTTCAACCAACGTGGCATATCTTGTAAAACCCTTCTACATAGATATAATGAACAGTTAATCAGGCCTACCCTTTCCTCCTTGGAGTACACCAAAAACAGCTATATCAAAGCCACCAGAAAACTTCCCCATTGCACCTACATTCCAAACAATAAAACAATCAGTTCCTTTGTCCCTTACCGGGATCCTAACGTACGTACCTTAGTGTAGACAAAACACCAATTACCATCCTAAAACGTCAATGGTTCGATCGAACAAAATTGATTTAACGTAATACTAACCTGTGACAACAATTGCCTTCACATCATCTCTTTTCATGGCTTGTTCATAACTATCTCTTAGGCTGAATAATACTGTATATTGTGTGTAAATGTGCAGAAAACAAAGACAAAAATGGATGGACATATAAGAATCTCAGTAGAAATAGAGATTTGATAGAAGAAGAAGAAGAAAAATTATACCATCAAAAGACAAGGCGTTAACTGGAGGGTTGATGATGGTGATTATAGCAACTCCATCATCTCCCACCTCCATCTCTGTTCTTCCTTTTGCATTGCTTCCCATTTTGAGATGAAACAATGTAAGGGGAAATTTTTGTAGGAGAAAGTGAAGAGAAAATGGAGGAGGAGGTGCATGAAGAGTTGTGATTTCTGCACGGTTTCCGATGAATGAACAAATATTATTCAAGGTATCGTTATGTATCACTTTCACTTTGATATGAAACGTTCCTACTCTTATAATTTGCGGAATGCACTTAGCTCGGTAGCTACGTTTTTGTTTCTCGTTTATTTTTGTGAAATTATAGAAAATATTTTAACATTTTTAATTTATTTTTGCATTTCATAAAAAGAAATTGAGACTTGTGATAGTGTGGGAAAATTATAGAAATTCTAAAAATAAATAAAAAAATTTAAAAAAAAACGCAGAAAAATGAGAAATATGGAGGTTACCAAATGGATTTACAGTTTAAACTGAAGGAATTAATTATAGTTAATTAAGTCCAGTTTTATTAGGAGTATTAAGAATCTTCATAAAATGTTGTAAAAATAAATCCTCGACAAATGAAACGGGGGTAGAATTGTACTTTCACAATCAGCTTTTTGGTCAGCGATTGTGGCCTTTTATGAGTCAACGCGGCCCCACCCGATCGGGTATTTGACGGTGGATGATGCTTATCGTAACCGATCACATCGGATGTGCGCCGCAGCTTATTATAGTCTCCACGGTTTTGCTTTTCGTTCTATTCTCCCATTGAAGCATGTGATATCGACGTGATGTTTGAACATTTTATATTAATAATTAAAATTTCATAAAGGTGTTACACGAGGCATAAATACTTTGGGCCCGTTATGTGCCAGCCCAGCTCAGCCCAATCCATGTACATTGGGCTTTGATTTGGGCCTGCTTTCATCCTCAGCCCATGTTCATTAAAATAATAATTTTTAATTTTATCTTTAAATTCTCCCCACCCTCGCATGCTTTAAGCTAAAGCAAGGGTTTCGTTTATAAAAAGAAGTGCATTTGAAGGTATGACGTGTCGTTAGTAATTTTCAGAAGAAAAAAGGGAATGTGACATAAACAACTAACTTATTTGCTCTTAAATATTTTAATAGAAAATCCCTATTTTAAAAATAAGTAACGTAAAAAAAATATCTTCTAACCATTTAAGCTATCCCGACCGATGTTGTGATATAGTCATATTTAACACTTTTTCTTATAGGCTTTCCCTCAAAATTTTAAAATGCGTCTGCTATGTCCTACTTCGACTAGTGTCTCACATCGTCCAGTGATTAACTTTGATACCATTTGTAACACTCAAAGTCCACCGCTAACATATATTGTCCGTTTTGACCCATTACATATCGTCGTCAGCCTCGTGGCTTTAAAAACACGTCTGTCACGGAGAGAAAATAATGTTTTGTTCTCTTCTCCAACTGATGTGGGATCTCACGTATTTCTTTTCCCTAAACGAGGTTGGGAACTAAGATTTGCCCCTAACCCCACTTAAATTCTCGTCTCACCTACTTTTCTCACGTTATATATGTTAAATAAAAATATGGACAAAAGTTATCTATTAGGAACCTAACTCCCACATAAATAAAATATATGAGGAGAGGATTGAAATGGGAGATAGAGACAAGATGGATGTCATCGTCTCGTGGACATCTCTAAGTGTTATATAGTTTGGATTTTTGCTACAATTTGGTTATGATTATAAAAGTTTCGATTTGGTTCATATGCTCGAAACTTGTTATCAGTTTCGTCCCTTTTTAAAAAAACTATATTTAAAATCGTGGAACTCGATCTCTAAAAAATAAACTATTTTCTTTTTTTTTTTTAGTGATTAAAAATTGAAATAAGAGACGGGAAGGGTGACGGTGACGGTGACGATTTAGAGCTTTCTTATCTCCATCCAAAAAGAAAAAATGGACAAGAAAGAACAAGTTGATTGAATTAAGAGGGTCATTTATCAACCAAATACGCACAAGGGTATTTCCGTCAGCCGACAAATTTCAAGCTTCTGCCGGGGTCCGCCCGGGCAGCCCGCACCGTTGACGACAACAGGATGCGTTGTAATTAGTGCAAAAATCAAAAGGGTATTTTAGTAATTTAATATATAACTTAAAATAGCGGTTTAATCCATTTGAATTTAATCAATTGATATTTTTCGCCCTTTTCACCAATTTGTTTATTTCTTTTTGCGTCTTAATATTATAACAAAAGGCGGATTCTGTGGCGTTGAAGTCTTTACAATTCTCGCCAACTCATTTCATCCGAAGATTAAAAGAAAAAAAAAGGTTCGGCGAATTTGTATGTTTTTCCCCCTTTCTTGTCTCGAAGAGATTAGGGTTTTGTATATTTTGTTCGATTCAGATCTGATCCCTGGTTTCGATCATTAGATTCTTCGTTCTACAGATCTCGTCCTTCGAATCTATTAATTTTGGGTCAAATTTGGTACGTTTGAACGTTTGAACGTTTGAAATGACCTGGAATTCTTGATTGAATCTCTTTTTTTCCATGTAGCTTTATTGTTGAGTTTGAATCTGGTGATTTTGTTGCAGATTCTGTTGGATTTGAATTTCGTCTTCGAGTAATTCCTTTCATGTCCTATTTCGAATTCAGACTTTCTCCCCACTGTGAGTTTTTCTTTAATCGTTACTTACTTTTTATTTGGTTAAACTTGGGGGATCGGCTGATTGTTTATATCTGGATTGTTGATGTTATTGGAGATTTTTTAGTGCTATTGCATACTTGATTAAATTGGTCTTTTTTTTTGGATGAAGCGTTGTTTAACAGATCTTGAAAATTGGCTCCGCAAAGACGTTCGCAGCGCCACATGGGCGGCCAGATGCAGCAGAGCAATGCTGCGGCGGCGACCACCTTTTACGACCACGCCGGCGGTGGGACCCTGCACAATGCAGGCCCCACTAACGACGCCGGTGACGCGGTCATGGCTCGGTGGCTCCAGTCTGCTGGCTTGCAGCATCTGGCCTCTCCATTGGCTGATCAACGCTCCCTCCTCATGCAGGTACGACGCTTAATATTTCCGAGGGTTTTCGTATGTTTTGAGGTACTACTAAAAATTTCTTGCGAGAGTTAATGAATCAGCCTTTGAGTATTTACTGTAGGAGGTACATTTTTCCTTCTTTCTTTTTCCACACATGCAATCTTCAACTTGTTGGGATCAAATGGGGAATTATTAGTGGTTGAATAGCTCTATTGAATTTGATTACCATGCCACCACGTAATTTTCTGAAAGGAAGTACAGCTTGATTTGGGGGATAGTTCATCTACAATCTTTTTTTCTTTTTTTTTTGTTCATTTGATGTTATACCTTTTTTTAGTTGTTGTTTATGCCATAGCAATTAAATTTCCTCTTCCCTTCCAATTGGCTCAGAGTTATGGAGCACAATCTGCTGAAGAGAAACAGAGGCTCCTAAAACTGATGAGAAACCTGAACTTTGGTGGGGAGTCTGGATCTGAACCACATACACCTACTGCCCAAGCTTCAGGAGTACTTGGTGCGATGGATGGGTATTATTCTCCCGAATTTAGGGGAGATTTTGGTGCTGGACTTTTGGATCTTCATGCTATGGACGATACCGAGCTTTTGTCTGAGGTATGCTGATTAACTAATTTGGGTTTTTTCCTTTTTGTGAGCGAGAGATTCTTACTTTATTTTGATTATATATGTAAAATAGTAGTAATACTTAGGTGGTTTGAATTAGGCATTGGGACGTATTAACTTATTGCCTGATATTTTGAGAGCATTTCTGTAAAGAACCGTGGGCTGTTGACATGATTTCGTTATTGTTTATTTTCTTTATGGAATTTCTATTGACATTGAGATGAAGCTATAGTGCTTACATGCAATGAGAGTGTTTTTGTTTTGTGGGGGAGGAGGGAGAGGGTGGGGGTCTAGTGACATGAAAAAAGATAAAGATGCCTCTATACCAACTAAAGAACTACTCAGATTTCCTTTCATTTGAAGATTCACATTTTTAATATTATGTTTTTTAGCATTAGGATATCTGTTGAAAATTATCTGGCGGTCCATTACTCTATGACATTGGGTGAAAGTCACATACTTATCCTTTTTTGTGGTGGTTAATTCTTTTTCATCCTTTTTTTATTTTTAATTTTCGGATTTCCTTTTTAATTTTTTTCTCACCAGCATGTTATGTCAGAACCATTTGAGCCGTCACCATTTATTCCTAGTGGTACTAGACCATTTGAGAATGAATTTAATATAGCTAGCAGCAGGCAGCCAAGAAGCCAAGCTGATGAAGATGCTGTGGCTACATTACCTGTTATTGAAAAAGAGAATGTTGCAAGAGAAAATAATGTGGCTAAAATCAAAGTTGTGGTAAGCTTCTTATAGTGGCATCAGAATACTATTTGTAGAGTACTAACTAGGAATCCTTTGCACATGGGTGTTATCCTTTTACTAATTTTCCAAATATTAATCAATAATGGAGTCATGGAGGTTGGAGTACAGCCTTGTAATTTTTTTTATTGGCATACATTGTTTGTTTCTCCTCGTCTGGGAGGTAGTTCAATTAACAAGTGATAGCTATGTTAACGCATTTTGGAGTGCATGCCTACAATTAACAAGTGATAGCTATGTTAACGCATTTGGAGTGCATGCCTTAGAACAATAATTTGTATGTAAATTTGTCACATTCCACGTCTTTCTTCTTTTTTGTTTAGTTTAATCACTCCTATCAATTTTTCCTGCCCGTTAATTTTTTTCTCTTTTTCTTTATGGGATCATCTAATTGAGCATTTGTTTCTTCGATGGAGTTTGGTTTTCTGGCATCAACTGGCATATATTTTCATATATTGTTCTATTTTTCTTAATACGTGTAGTGTACCCTGTATTAGGTGAGAAAGAGACCATTAAACAAGAAAGAGCATGCTCGTAAGGAGGATGATATTGTCTCAGTATGCGACAATGCCTCTTTGACTGTTCATGAACCAAAACTCAAGGTCCCTTTACTTTTATTAATCAGAACTTTGACGTATATATTAGCTTAGTTGTTTGATTTGGCAGTATTTAACTTGATCATAGTTTCTTTTCTCCCATACTTTAAATTGAGATAGGTGGACTTGACTGCATATGTGGAGAAGCATGAATTCTGCTTTGATGCAGTTCTTGATGAGCAGGTTACCAATGATGAGGTAACCGTTATATATTCTTTTATTCCAGTGTAGTTTAGTATAATTTTTTGTTGTTAAATGGT